ATGCACTTGGACAGGTATGTGCTAAAAGGCTTCTCGCCTATTGTAGAATTGCTAAAACTTAATGCCATCATTTACAGATAATCTAAGCTGGCACATGCTAGGTCTATTAAATACCACCATAAAGGTTGTAGGGAAAAGGCCTTCCATGATCAGGGAATTTGGGGGAAATTCTAGGTTAAGCAGAGTTAGATGGTTTTCTTCCCTGGTAGATTCCCTGCTGATTTTTCATATGAGTACAAATGCAGAATTCATTTATGCTAGAGCATCTCTAAGAAAAGTATTTTGTGGAATGCTCTTTGGAAAATACTGTCCTACCCCTGCCAGCCCCCGCCCCACCACCAATCTTTTCATTTTCCAGATGAGAAAATCAAGGTCCACAGTAGTTAAGTGGATTGCTATATTTAACTAGTGAGTGATGCTGAACATGAGGCTACTTATTGGATGCTTTTTGATGTCCTGTCTTCTGTACCATATTGTCCCACAGATTTCACCCAAGCAGAATCAGCCAGAAAAGTGTTTTGTTCTCACACACACACACACACACACACACACGCTTGCTATTGGTGATTGAATCACCAGGGGCACTTTACCATTGAGCTACATCTCTAGCCTGTTTTAATTTTTATTTGAGCTACCTCTCCAGCCCTTTTTAATTTTTTGAGCTACATCTCCAGCCCTTTTTAATTTTTATTTTGAGACAGGGCCTTGCTAATTTGGTGACGCTGGCCTTTAACTTATGATCTTCCTGCCTCAGCCTCCCAAGTCAATGAGATTTCAGGTATGCACCACTACATCCAGCTTGTTCCTTTATTCTGTAGGGAAGAAGCTACTGCATAGCCTGCTATGGGAACTGATTACCCTGAATTTAACAGCCATCATAGACACACTGACTCCTTGGTTCATACTTTAAGTTCTGGGATGCCCATTCCTTACTAAACCCATGAGTCTTTTTTTTTTTTGTTGTTGTTGTTGTTTTGTTTTGTTTTTTTGTTGTTGTTTTTGTTTTTTCACAGGGTGCCTATTATGAATATGAAAAGAGGATGATCTTTGGAGATGACTCTACTAGGGTTTAAAATGCTGTTTTACACTTAGCTGTGTGTCTCTGGGTCAAGTCAGTTAGCTTCTCTGAACTTCAGTTCACAAAACACTGGATACTTCTGAAAAAGCTTGTCTGTTAAAGGCATTTAATAAATGGGACTTATTTTTACTCTTTAACAATGCCTAAAGGAGACTTAAAAATTACTGTGTCATTCTGATGTTGATTGCTGTCCTTTCATTCATTATAGGACACGGTGAAGCTTTTTGTTGAGATTTTGATACTGGAAACTACCTCTCAGTTTCTCTTTTCTTCACCATCTTGAGTTCTTAGATCTATGATGACCCCTGTCAGTTTCCTCTATTTGCATAGCTCATGTCCCATTCTTGTACCTTTGACACTGTTCCATATTGAACTAGTCAATTTCTTCTATCAAGATTGCTAAACAAATTGCAGAGAAGTCTCAATTTTCAGAATTTTAAGAAATCTTTATCAACTATATTTTATTTTTTCACCTGCACTATCTATTTCTGTTCCTGTTTGCTGTTGCAGTGATCCTGATATACTCTGAAGCTGCAACTCTCTTGCTTTTCTGCAAGCATCTCCAAAGTTGCATGTTGGAAAATGCTTTCGTCATTCCAGAAGAAAGGATTTTACAGACTGCCATAGCTCTTTGCAGGGAAAGAATAACTTCCAAGCTGAGTGCTTCTTAAAAGAGGTACTCCCCCATCACTTATAAGACTGTACTCAGTGGTTACTGCTGGTGACACATTTTCAAATGGACCCCCCAGTGACTGCAGCTGTGATTAAAAGCAATCTGTTCTCTGCCTCACAGGGGTTTGCTGTTTAACCATGTCATGTATGTATATATACACACACTCAGACACACACATATATATATTATGCTGTAGTTGCATCATGGAAAACAAAGTGTTTTGTAAGGTGAAAAATCGAATAAATACTTCAATGATAAACTCTGAATTTTCCAAGCTTACGTCACTGAGAGGCACTAGTAGGGAACATAACCATGTATGAGGTACATAAAAATAATTTAAGCAAGAAAAGCTAATGATCAGTGCATATATACCATCTGCCAGTACCTGCTTTGCGTGCATCAGCTGGACTGAACATCTTAAAGATTTAAGTACTTAGCAACAGCATTTTAGCTCCTCAATGTGATTTGGGATTCAATTTTGACCCTCCTCAAATAAAGCAAGAGAATATTCCTTTTTAAATCTACCTAGATAGTCATTGACACATGAATAATCATGTTTGGCTTATCATAGAAATGCTAGTCTCAACAGAAGTTTACCATTAATATTACCTTTAAAAATGGTCAAATGAGCAGGGCAGCCACAGAGACCAGATGTTTCAAAGGCACAAGTCACACCTCTTCCTTCGGATTAGACAGTCGTCAACCTTTTATAAAGTAAAAAGTGTGTTCAAGAATTTTAACCTGGACTCTCTGCATCATGTGACAAGCGTACTAACAAATGCCATCAGGGAAAGCAATGTTGTTCCCCTCCACCCTACAACTGAATCAGAGGAATTCAAACATGCCATCTTTCTTAAATATCTAGGAAAGAAATCTGGGGAGGTTTTGAGAATTTTGTGTCTCCTTTCCCCTCTGCCTCCTTCCCCCCCCCCACCACCGCCACCCATCCCCCCTGCCACACCTAAGTTCCAAGCACTCCAAATCCCAGACACCAAATCCAGTAAATGAGATGCTAATCTATCACCAGCAAATTTAGGCTGACAATACTGTGGATCGACCACATTGATGACATTGATTCCATTTCAAATATTTACAATATAGCGAGACAAGCCTAATCTATTTCCTAAAGAGTTCAAGGTAGGTATCACCATTTCAGAGGAGGAAAAACAATGGAGAAATGTTTGTGGTCGCTATCTGCAATAATCTGATGCTGACAGAGAGTAGTATTTTATTTAGTAATTAACAGTGTAAAGGGGAGAGGAGCTGTCATGTTGGTTCTTAAGCTGGGGAATGTGATGAAAGATGATATCTGCGATCTCATCCTTTCCACTTGTTTAGGATTGTCAGGATGAGAAATGTCAGCATTATGAAAGCTTGGCTCTGCTCTTGATATGATAAAACCCTTCAAAAGCCAGTCTTTCTCTCTCCCTCGTCCCCCTCCTTTCTCGCTCTCTCTCTCTGCACTTGCTTTTTTATTTATCCTGTTTTGTTAGATGGCAGAAATATAATTCTTTTCTTTCTTCCTATTATAAGCCACCATTTTTGTTTTATTATATGTTTCACAACCCCTAATGCCCCACTGAAAATTACCTTGTTAAATGACAGTGTTTCAAAGCCATGAATCCTTTCCACCATTCCCTCAGAGGTTTGAAACAGTCAACAGACTGTAAAGAATAAATAATAAAAAAGTATTGATTATTTTGATGACTGTGAGATTCAATTAAGTATTAATTTTGCCCTCCAGTGGACCTATCAAGGTATTCAAAAGGGAGGATTCGGCTCAGCTAAATGCGTGCTGAGTGCTTTAGCCTTAAATAGGGAGAAAATGTGTTTACCTACAGTATTTGAAGAAGAAGTGCATTGATGCACAGAGTCCAATATTTAAGTGCTGTGCAAATTAAGCCCTGGTGACAGTGACATTGTTTTCAGTGGTATGAGTATTGACTAAAGAAGTGCATTTGATGACAGCTTAAACTATTTGTATTGATTAACATTTTCATAGATTATCATGTGTCATATCAAATTCACTTTTCAGGCATGAATACATTAAAAAGAAAAAAAAAACAACCACAGGCATACCGCAACCAATGTAATGATGGGACCCGGGAGCAGCCGCCCCACCTGCTCCTGTGCTGGTCACCTGTTTCCTGCTCAGGAACCATTTAGGCATGAACTTGGCAATAAATAGCTCCCAGATCACAAAAAAAAGGGCACTTCTTGCTTTTCCTTTCCTTCTGCATCCGATATCTGTGTCAAAGCAATATTATGCATCTTAGTTTGCAAATGGAAAAAAGGCTACATTTGGAAAATATTTCTGATCTTAACATGTCCTTCTAAATGAGCTGAAGATAAAGCAGATTAAAATTATTGGGGGGAAAGTTTGCCTTTTTTTGAGGTGCTTTTGTTTTCTTTTTCTTTAATGCTCTGGGCGTATGATGCTCTAAGTATCCGAATTATTGAACACAGTTTGTAAGTATTTTCCCAATTCCTTTTTAAAAAAATGTTAATCAATTTTCGTATATTTTGTTGTGTATTGTTTGCTTTAAAATGTTCATTTGATTTGGGGTTAGCTTCAGTCCCCAATCTGGGACCAGTGAAGTCAACTTCTAAGGCTGCTTATAGAATTTACATAAGAAATATCTTTTATTCCATTGAAAGCATTTTGAGGTCTCTTTTCTCCCTATCTCTTTTCTCTGCTCTTGGGATAGGGTTTAATTGCTTCTCCCCCAGGGAGAAGGCTTCTTAAAATAGCCTGTGGTTCCTCCATAGGGTGCTCTTTTTGAAAAGGTATGTTGCTGAAGTACAAACCCAGCACTTTCTTTTTTTCTTACTGCATTAAAGACAGAACAAGGTGTAAAAACATTCCGCACAAAAGCACATCCCACAATTAAAGCTGTGTTGGTTAGGTTGCTTTCAAAGAAGTTTTTTTTTTTCTTTTTTTCTTTTTCTTTCTCTGTCTTCCTCTCTCTCTCTCTCTCTCCTCCGAAGCCTCCTGAATCTCTCACATGCTAGTTGAGCTTTAATAGGGTGGGGAGTAATGGAGAACTCATCGGATCTGTAATAGCTCTTCACTTGACTGCAGCCAGCAATAACAGCGGGAGCAGCCAGAGATAAGAGAGAGAGAGGAGAGAGGGAGAGTGTGTGTGTGGAAGAGAGAGAGAGAAGAGAGAGGGAGAGGGAGAGAGAGGACACGCACTCTAAAGCTGCCACTTTTTTTTTCCTCCCCTTCACTCTTTCCCCCCATCCTAGGATCCAATGATAGCTGGACAAGTCAGGAAGCCCTTGCTGTCAGCGCGGAGTGAAATGAATGCGGAGTTGAGAGGTGAGGACAAGGCTGCTACTTCAGACAGCGAGCTGAATGAGCCTCTGCTTGCGCCTGTGGAATCAAATGACAGCGAGGACACTCCCAGCAAGCTCTTCGGTAAGTCTGTCTAGGTATTTCATTTCAGTCCTACCATGTTGTCCGGAAGAGCAATCCAGCCCCTCACCCCCCCCTCTTTTTTCCCCCTGTTGTTCATTCAATTTTCTCTTAAGTACTAAAGAGGAGCTTCGCATCTTGGAGGTGCTAAGCCACCGAAGCCGATTCCAGCTGCCTGCGAGGATGTCCTCCAAACTTTTACAAACAAGGAACTTATTCACTGCCCATTTTGACTTGTCAAATATTGCTGGCATTCCCCAGGCTGGAAATTATTTAAAAAAAAAAAAAAGAAAAAAAAAGAAAATGGTAATGATAATCAGGAAATCAGTTTCATTGTAAGAATTGGTTAACATTTATTGAATAAATATCGACTCGGTTTCGGGTTGCTTCGCAGCCTTTTGTTAAGGGGAAGGAGAGTAAAGAGTTATTATCTGTAGTCAAAAGACTAGAGAGGAAAACTGGAAAATATCGATACAAGTCTTGCTATGCCAGGTAAACAAAAGGTGGCTACGGGAATTGCTCAAAGAAATAAACATTTTGTCATCCCAGTCAGAATGAATATCTCTTCTTTTAAAAGGGTGTTGAGGGAAGAAAATGGGTCTCTTGAATCCCTCCCCTGCCCCTCTCCTCTTTAACATTATGTTTATAGCCTCATCCTAGATGGGGAGGCAGCACACGGGACCTTTCAGGAATCTTTGTTTCATAAACAAAACAAGAACAAGCAGAGTGCCACTCCAGCAAAGACATCTGTCATTCAAACAGATGACAGTCTGTAAGCCAACTCAAGCAACTGTGATCTCTAATCAGAAAGGGGAGCGGGTTGTTGAGGCGCGTGCCTGAGTGATAGATGTTGATAGATGTCTCTGCTGGAGAAGCACTTTATGGTTCAGAGTGACATTAGGTTTTCAGAACAATTGCTCCTGAAACATTTGCTTTTAATTATTTTTCTGTGTGTCTGTGTGTGCAAGCACACAAATCTGTAGATATACTAACCATTTATATATATGTGTGTATAAATGTCATGCAGAGAACTGCTTATTCTCAAGTTAAAAAACAGTTCATGTGCCTGAACTTTCAAAGACAAACAATATCATTGCACAGACTACTTTATTAAGAGAGTTGTTAATTTCATTTAAGAAATAGACCTTATGTATTTATTGTTTTAGTTGCTTTGATAGTTGTGTGACTCTTGGCCAGTTTCCACAGAGATTCTCCCTACTTTTAAATGCTCACTCAAACATCAGAGAGGTCCTTCAAAGAAACTTTGCCTTTTAAATTTTCTGTTGATAAAACACTGATTTGTACTTAAGAATATGACAAATTCAAGTGTCAAGAAGTTTTGCAAGGTTACCTTTTCTTCAAAAGTGTTTTATCTCTGATAAAAAATTTCCAAACCTATATGTTAAGGTTTTAGCATTTTCACTCTAAAGAAGTATTTCATTATAGTGCAAGTTTTTATCTACATAGGAAGAGTTATGTTCTAAAAACAGTCATTTGGGGAAGCTAATGAGAAAAGTCAGATAAAACTATAAAATTGAAGAAAGCAAAACCATGCTCTAGCTCTTCTGATGATGAGTATTCTAAGTAAGCACTTTGACTTTTAGAAAGTAATCAATTCTGAGTTCAACATAGCTGTAGATACTAAGTTATTTGTACATTAACTTTGCATGTGTTTTTTAAAAAATCAATACATGTGTAGATTTGGGTTTATAATCCCAACTAGTTTTCTTTCAAGTAAACCAATGGAGCAATAATTAGTCTGGCTTCTCAACATTAATTTAGATATTCCAATGTTGAAAATTGTTAATAGATTTTTTAAAAATTCTACTTCTTGCTGATTTGCATGTGTAGAGAAATAAGCTTTGAAAAAAAATGCCAGAGGGTCAAAGAGATTTGAATTAAAACTTTACTGAAAATACGTGTTGAGTGAAATATGCTAAGGAGGTATAGTATAATTTAAAAATCATAGCGAGTTTTGGAAGGTACCCACCTTTATTTTGAGAGTCTCAACTTGTAAATTTGTGAGAAAGAACCCAGCAAAATCTACATCCTATATCTTAATTTTTGTTTGTATTTACTTGATTGTCTTTGGTCTCTAGACTACTTTTCAAATACAATGTGAATCTTTCCCAGTTAGGTAAAGAAGAAATCAGTAGATTAACAATTGGAACACTTGAGAAAAAATTGAAGATAGCATTAGACAGAAAGAAAGCACCTCAATGTTTTTGTAAGTTTTCCTTAGCTATGGGGTCTATTGTGCTCTTACTTTTAAATATTCCTAGAACTTAGCCTTGGAATTCTAGTTTATGTAACTGACTAAAACTTTCTAGAATAATTCTCAGAATTTTTAGCAACTTTGATGACACAATTTAAGGGACTCTTATTTTATTTGATGTGCATTTGTTCAGGGCTTTGTATTTTGCTTTTAGATGTAGTTCTGATTATGTTCTTTATTTGATAATGAAGAAGTGCATTCTTCCAGAATAGTTGAGAGCATCCATGTTTTTCTCTAAGCAATGATTTTTTCTAATGTGCACTCTCTCTCGAACTATCATTCTTATAGATTATACATTGTAGTATTGAAAACTATGTTCCTCTGATGAAAAGGGCAGATTAAGGCAAATAATGTGCACATTGACATGTTTAATATCACGAAGAGACATCACCCAACAACAAGGGACAAGAAGAGCTCAATTTTCCTACTATTCTTGAAATTTCAGTATAAGTGGGTTTCTTTATAGCCTATTCCCTCATCTGTATCTTGTTGAAATTAATAGTCCAGAGGATGAGCCTGTTTCTCTCACAGTATGGCACCTTCAGCCCAAAACTGCAGGAGAAAGGCTAATACTGATGCCCTCTATGGATAAACAAAGGAAATTCCAGGAACCATTGGGCTTTTTATGCCTTTCCTTAAATTGCACCTCTGCACTTAACAGCATCCAAAGGGAAACATACGGTGCAGAACGTTTCAGAGCTCTGAGCCGCTCAGCATACCAGAAGGAGAAACAAGAAGCCATATGCCAGCCTAAGTAGAAAGTTCAGAAAAGGGCCCTTGTGCTTTATAAAGTAATTACATCAGAGGAACCGTTTTGCTTAACTTGAACAGCCATGGAAACTAAAGTACACTTAGGAGAGATGAATCCACATTTCATTGAGGAACATGTGGTGAGGTCGTTCGCTGTGATATCATTAAGTGGTGCATTATTTATTCTTGTAAAGCGTGTAGAATAACCATCTCCATTTGCAGTTCATGATTGTATTATGCTAAGCTCTGAGCCACAGGAAGCAGTACAGGGGAGCACAGGCTTGTATGTCTAGGCATTATCAGAGAATCTGGCATTATGTCTCATGATGCTCTAGCTGTGTGATCAAGTGAGTGATACCACATAGGGCCAGTCGTTGAATATGTGACTAGTGATATTTGGAAACGATTCTCAAAACTGGCCTTTTACAAACAATCTCCAAAGGAAGAGGTTGTTGTGTTTCTCTAGTGACATTTATAGCACTTGTGTCAATGTGGTGCTTCGTTTTTAGTTATGCCCATCAAGAATTCAGTGTTCCACATTCAGTCAAGTTGGATGCTAAAATTCAAATGGTAGCATCAACAACTTGGTCAGGAAAATGGCTGCAGAAAAGATAAAAGTAATATATATCCCCAGAAAAATATCTGTACTAAAGTTTCCCCATGTACTCCCAGCCAAAGAAGTGAGACCTCATAAAACATGCCCTAAATACTTCCCCCATATATATTTGAGATTTGAAAGATGATTTATTAACCGTGTTTCTCCTGGGAAAATTTTTTTATTATTTAAAGTTAAATCTCATGATTGCTTTCCTTCAAGTTCCGACTACCTTGGGTGGCTGTGTTAGTCTCGGTGGCTTGTTCTCAGTTGTACTACACTGTACCTGAATTGGGCACACAGCTCAGAAACTTGAGCTGAGATGGAAACACAACATTTATAAACATTGTACCTGAAATAAAAAATGTGTGATTGGTTTTCTCCTATGATATTGTGTTTTTCTAGGTTAAAAGAAATTGCATGCAATGATACTTGTGAGAGTGGGTATTTTCAATGCCATTTATCTGTGAACTATTAGAAAAGGATTGAAAGTTGGGCCAGTGATTCCTCCATGCTGGGAAATACACTACCTATTGTGTTTTTATTTTCCTTTAGGTGATCTTTCTCATGGAAACATGCATTATAAGATTTTTTTTTTTTTCAAATTGCCATCCACTTTGACTTGATTAGAATTTATGGCAGTGGAGTCGTTTTCAATGACAAAAGGGTAAAGGACTAAATTGTCTGTCACCCCTTGAGACAGTGGTCTCCGCAGGTCAGCGTGGAGGTCATTGCAGGGCATTATGGGGACTGCATTTCGGGGTGGTGCTGCTCTTGCCTGTGCGTGAGGGGAGGCCTTCATTATGGGATCACTGTCTTCATTACTGTATTTAAACATCTCTCTCAAGGTTTCAATACCTTGCGTATTCATAATATGAATTATGCTGGAGCCAGTAATCAGTATGTAGGACTCAAGCCCAAGAGGGATTTAGCTGGGAAATGATGAGGAATATTCTCTAGAGAAATATATTTATTTAAAGACTGGACCACGCTTCTATATTTTTAAAAGTTTGGATATTATATTTATTGAAAATTCATACTCTTTTTTCATGGAAGAAAGTGTGTTTTACTAGGAAAATATTAAAACAGCATATTTTTGAGTCGACTAAATAATTTGGATAATAGAGTCTATGCAAAAAACAGTTATTTCAAAGAAATCAGTAGAAACTCGTGTTTGTGAAAATAAGAAGGGTGCATGATAAAGCATTTTTCAAAAAACAATTATAGTTTAATAGTAAAACAGGCCCTTTTTGTGCTGCTTTGACTACATGAGGGGGAAAATACATATTTAGATGCATTTCTTACATTTAAGAAAATCTAAAGCACTGAGATACCTCTTCAAAAAATCAGTGTGTGGCTGTGTATATTTAGACAAATTTAGTT